TAGAAGAACATAATGCAATTTGCTTTCTAGCCCAAAGCCCTAAAAATAATTAGGTAGGAGTTCACATGAGTGTTAAAAGGCAGTTGTTTCTGGTGAATCCAAATGGATTTAAAAAATCAATTTCATTTATCCTCAGAGGAAGGCTTGCATTTTAGATTTCTTATGGTTTATTGAATAGTAAAGCACAATGACCATGCTAGCATTAAAAAAGTAAGCAATGAGAAAAAATCAGTGCAACACTCCAAATTCAAATTAAGGATAATGGAGTGAGAGGAAGGAATTTCAGAACGCGGGAGTGAGTAATGCAACTGAGACCTCAAGTGTTTGCCTTGGGGGATTCTCGCTTGGTCAGATGTGTGTCTTCAACATATGGCTTCCATCTGACTAAGTCTCTAGCCCCTCATGCCTTGGAATCATCCTGACCCATTTGGTTTCCTTTCATGAGATCTGAGGGAGACTCTGTCCCTAAAATGCAGGTCAGAGTTTAGCTTCGTCGGTGCGTAGAAGGGTAGAAACCATTCAGAGGGGCAGGTAGGGCAGCTGAGGGTATCTGGACTGCGGTGGCCACACCGTGGAGAACCTTCGTGTAGGCACGAGAAAACCATTTTGGGGGTTTATCGTCAATAACCTTTTAGAATGAAAAGAGAATACCTTTAATGTGGAAAAATTAGAAAAAAACCAGAGGTACAAAGAGGAAGTTATAATCTTGTTTTTTAGAGCCATTGTGGTTGCTTCCCCCCCCCCTTTTTTTTTGGCTTGGGGAGACTCATTATCTAAGTGATATTTTTAGGAATTAACATGAGGTGGCAAGGTAGGATGTACCAAGGGAAGAGCTAAGGCAGGGAGACGATTTAGGAGGCTAATTCATGGGTCACTGGGCAAAATGGTGGTGGTAGCTAGCACTGACCAAGAGGAGGAAGGGGCAGATTTGAGGCAATTGGAAATGAGGGCTCAGTGAGTCTGGATGAATTGAGATGTGGGCAGAGACTGAGATAAAGTTACAGGTGATGTGGAGAGTGCCACTGGATGGTGGGAGAATGCATCATTCATTCATTCAACAGAAATGGATTGAGTGCCTACTACTCTCATGGAATTTATAGCCCAGTGGAGGGAGACAAACAAAAAAGAAAAGTAAGTAACTACAAGACATAGCATGTTACATGGTAGTAAGTGTTGTGAGGAAAAATCAAGCAAATTGAAAACAACCTGATAATAAAAAGCCAAGGTCATAACCAGGAACCATAGGTCAACCCCAGCATTTCCCCAAGAAGCCTTGGCTGTCCAGGTCCATTCTCATCTTATGATCTACCTTGACGAAGGATTGATCCTGCTGAAGGACAGTTTATGGCCCTGTTGCCTTTATTTTTTAAATTATTTTTTAAAGATTGTTTTACAGTAATCTGTACACCCAACGTGGGGCTCAAACTTACAACCTTGAGGTCAAGAGTCTCATGCTCTACTGACTGAGTCAGCCAGGCACCAGCCCCCCACCTGTCACCTTTATTTTAATGGATGAATGAATGAGTAACCAATTTAAATCTGACCTCTGACCAATGTTGAAATTCAGAAGAGATTCTAATATTTAAAGGTTCTTATGCCTTTTCTTTGTGGGGTCAAGAATGCCCTTGAAAATGCAGTGGAAAATTATGAATCTCCTTCCCCATAAAACTGGGCTTACTCTCATTACATACAGTTCCCAGGGATGCACTGATGGAGAGTCAGCCAGCCCATGAGGAGGTGGCCCACCGAGCACCTGAAGGCATGGCCACATTTTTCCTATGAGAACTAGTTGAAACCTCAAATCTTTACCCCCGAAAAGTGCCCAGCCCACATCACCTCCTATAGCATGACAAAGAAGATTTGGGCCTGGGCATTTTCAAGGGTACCAGGGTGCCAGACTGCTTAGAGCAGGGAAGTCCGAGCCAGGGAGTCTGGTCAGGAGATGGCAGGCATGACCCAGAGGAGAGGCCGCGAAGGCCCCACTGCAGCTCTGGGGAAGGTCAAAGCCAACACACATTCAGAAAGGGCAGAGGTGATGGGCTGCCTGCAGAGAGTGAAGGGAAGAGGATATAAAAAGAATCCTAGAGGTGATGCCTGGTTGCCTCAGTTGGTGGAACATTCGACTCTGAAGCTCAGGGTCATGAGTTCAAGCCCCATGGTGGGCATGAAGCCTACTTTAAAATAAACAAATAAATAAAAAGGACTCTGGGCTTGCAAGCCCAGAACAGGCAAAGGAGGCCCTGCCACCAAAGGTGAGGAAGGGAACAATTTGGGTGGCAGGTTCCACTGTTGCTTATAGAATCTTCCTAAAGTCCATACTCAGTTTGGAAACTTTTACCCCTAGTGGCTGAACTTGTAGACATGATGGAAATGCTAAACCACATTCATGAGCATCTTGAACTTTTCTCTCATGGCAGACATGGACTTCATTGCTCTCAGCTCCAGAGGTCCGGCTCTCCTTTTCTCCACAACATCTGTTTCCATTTGTCCTACGACCTGCATTATATTGTACATAGTTGTGTGATGACATTGTCCTAAAGTTAAATGAAAATTGCTTTTAAAGGGTATTTACAAGGAGTTTCTATTGCATCCCCAACCTAAATCATAACAGCTCCACATTCTAAGAGCACCATGTGAAGATGTCACGCTGTGATAAAGTTCAGATTGAATATGTAGGCTGGGTCTGGGGAAAGGACAACCTATAGGCTTTTGGAGGCGTGGGTTTAGAAAGAGAGTGACATCTTACATGCTCTCTGCATGCTTACAAACACGTGCGTTGTGCAAATGCACAGGAAAAGCGCTCAACTAGGCCAGGCCTGTTGCTAACAGTGGCCACCTCTGAGGAGGAAGATGGGGATGGGGTGAGGGGAGGGGATTGTCCCCTTTTCCCCTACCTACTCTAGTATCATTTGAATCTTTTTTTTTTTTTCCCGAAGATTTTATTTATTTTTTATTTGGCAGAGAGAGATTGACAGCGAGAGAGGGAACACAAGCAGGGGGAGTAGGAGAGGGAGAAGCAGGCTCACCGAGCGGGGAGCCCGACGCAGGGCTCCATCCCAGGACCCTGGGACCATGACCCAAGCCGAAGGCAGACGCCTAACGACTGAGCCACCCAGACGCCCCATCATTTGAAACTTTTAAATGGAGAATATATTTACAAATCCCTTGTGAAATTTAAAACAATTAAAGAAAGATGGAGGGGCCCTTGGGTGGCTCAATCAGCTGTGTCTCCCTGCCTTCAGCTCAGGTCATGATCTCGGGGTCCTGGGATGGAACCCCACATCGGGCTCCTTGCTCTGCGGGAAGCCTGCTTCTCCCTCTTCCACTCCCCCTGCTTGTGTTCCCTCTCTTGCAGTCTCTCTCTCTGTCAAATAAATAAATAAAATCTAAAAAAAAAAAAAGAAAGAAAGAAAGATGGAGGCAAAAATCTCAAGGCCAACACAGCTGGTGTAAATAGACACCTAGACCTTCGAGAAAGTGGTAAAGGTCACCTCACCTTTGGGACACCATAGATAGACTGGCTTTTTTGTTGTCTTGAACAAAACTTGTCCTCATTTGGTCTGCCATTTTGAGAAGTAAAGTAAGTGCTGGTTTCAGAATTTCTTCCCAGGGATGTAGCTCAGGCACCCGGCTGTACTTAGGACACGCTGTGAGCCAGGTGGCCAGACCCCCTCCCAGGTCGGGGTTTTTCCACATCCATGTGAGGAATTGGCACTCTCGATTTGTTGCTGTTCTCAGAATGTGACCACACCTGTCCCGAGGGTGAAACCCAAATGCTGAATGCTAGGTCATCACCACCCAGCTCTTTCTGAGCCACTTGTAGAATAGAATTGAACAGACATGAACTATAACCAGAGTTTTGTAGTTATTTTACACAAAGGGCTCCTTACAGTCCTGTGGTACCTGCCTCCTAGGCTGTTTTGTACAGTAACAAAAACCTTCGGCAAGATGAGGATTCTCGTCCAATGTCACCTGCCTTCTACATGTGGATCAGTCTCCTTGGGCTGATTGAACAAAGTACCATCAGCTGGGTGCCGAGAACCATAGAACTTGATTGTTGGACCCTTCTGGAGCCTGGAAGTCCAAAATCAAGGTGTCACCAGGGTCAAGTTCTCTTTGAGACTCTGGGTAGAATCCTTCCTTGCCTCTTCCTGTTTCTGCTGTGGCTGGAAACCCTTAGTGTCCCTTGCCTTGCAGACACATCCCTCCAATCTCTTCCTCCTCCAGTCATCATGACATTCCCTTGTGTGTCCGTCTTCACATGGTGGTCTTCCCTCTTCTTGTAAGGACGCCAGTCATTGGACGAAGGGCCCACTCTACTCCAGTCTGATCTCATCTTAACGAGTCACATCTGCAAAAATCCTAGTTCCAGAGGAGTATTGGGGGTTAGGACTTCAAGATATCTTTTTCCAACCCATAATAATATCCCAAAGCTAGAACTCGAACTCCCATCTTTCCTCCCCACCAAACCAACCTTATGATGATTCACTTCCTATCTCTCTTCTTTTTAAAAAATCATCATATGTAGACCTTGGTGGTAACTGATAGTGTCAGGTGTACCAGGAAAGTTCTGGAAGGAGGATCTAGTACTTGCTGGGAGACTAATCCCTGACAATTACAGAGGAGACTTTACCTGTGGGGTGATATCCTTGCAGGAAATTGTAGTACCAGACTGCTGGCTGCTGTTAAAACACTTCGGGCTCTTCATCTCCAGATGTTGCCAGCCCATAAAACTGTAGTAGGTGGTGGCTGACGTCATTTGAAATTCTGTAGGCCTGACACCTTGTAAGTTGAGTGAATGTTTGTGTGTGTGTGGTTGGGGTTTCGTGTGACGATGGGGTCAGCTGAGCAGCTCAGGATTTCTGTAGACATCTCTTGCTAAGGGAAGCTTTATAACCTAAAGCCTGTAAACTTGAATATTATGGCAAATTATACAGAGTAGTTTAAGTGATTTTCTTCTTTTAGTGACTAGTAGAACTCAGGATTTTTTTTTCCCACAGACTCTGATGTGTCCAGTGGACACAGGCTTTTGGCTACAAAATTTGAGTGGAGAAAAAAAAACAGAGAAAGCTGGAGAAACGCTGGGCAACCACTGGCCTCTGGAGCTGGATGCAGAATGGATTCTTAGATGGAGAAGAGACAGGGGAGAGAGACAGACAGACAGACACCAGACACCAACCTGAATTGGAAAGAACATAGGCCAGTGTTGCCCGCTGGGAACTGACATCACAAATAGAGTGTGGGTGAATTATAAAGGTGACCCTTTATTTTTTATTTTTTTATTTTGTTGTATTTAGAGAGGGGGGAGGGGCAGAGAGAGAGACAGAAAGAGAATCTCCAGCAGACTCTGCACTGAGCATGGGGCCCAACACAGGGCTCCATCTCACGACCCGGAGATCATGACCTGAGCCGAAATCAAGAATCGGACACTTAACTGACTGAGCCCCCCACGTGCCCCTAAATGTGACCTTATAAATAAAGGTCTGGGATAAGAGTGGAGAGAGCATAAAAGCTACTATGGGAAAAGAAGTAGTAGAAAGGTTTGTTTATGTATTATGGAGTTAGTATTAATTTGTTTAAAAAGTGTGTCATCTTAAATCCAGGACTTTCAGTATTTTTAAATGTATCTGTACATGTAAGGGGGGATTTACTATCAGACCATGCAATTATGGCATCTCTAATCACCTGATGGTGATAACCATGAGCGAAAACTCAGGACGCCTTGGAGTTGCCTCTTCAGGGAGAGCAGTGGTAATGTTTGTTGGGGGCAGATTCACCACGTCAGTAAGGAGAAAGCTGTGTTTTTAGAAATCAGACCCCTCATACTGAGGCTTGGATATTAGAATTCCGAAGTCTTAGGCAACTAATCAATTATCCACTTACCTCTTTACCGAATACATTGGTAAGACAAAAGTAAATTCTAGAAGCATATTAAAGCGAAACCTATAAAAAATTGCTTTAGAGACGCAGCTAGATATGGAGGTTTGAGGGTAAAATAGAACTTCACCAAATCCTAAAGCTCCAGTAACTGCAATATTCACAGGGGGACTGGATGTGAACCAGACCCACGGTTGTTGTCAGGGTCTCTGGGTATGTTTCCTTTTTCAGTGATGGTTGTGTTGCCATTTTCCGAGTCAGACTTAGGAAGCGGATAAGCCCTTTAGGGACAAAGGGGAATTTGAAAAACATGGCCAATATTAGTATCATTAATATGTTAATTTAACAATGAAAATGTATCAAGTGCTTGCTCAGTGCTATACACTTTTTTTTTTTTTTAAAGATTTTATTTATTTATTTGACAGAGAGAGAGAGACAGCAAGAGAGGGAACACAAGCAGAAGGAGTGGGAGAGGGAGAAGCAGGCTTCCCGCGGAGCAGGGAGCCCGATGCGGGCTCCATCCCAGGACCCTGGGATCATGACCTTTGAGCCGAAGGCAGACGCTTAATGACTGAGCCACCCAGGCGCCCCAGTGCTATACACTCTTAAGCAGGCATTTTCAGTATTGCAATTTTTAGATGCCTGCTTTTTAAGTGATCCTTCCCTTGCATTTCAAGACAGTGCTTTTGGTTTGGTTTTGTTTTTGGAAAGCCCGTCTGACTTTATAATGGAAGGATTCATTTAGTGGAAATTCAGTTTAAGGAAACTTTAAAAAATTTTATTCTGCAGGAGATGAGAGATGCCTGCACTGAGAAGTTTTTGTGGTTTTTTTTTTTTTTTTTTTTTTTTTTTTTTTTGAGAGAGAGAGCATAAGCAGGGTGGGGACAGGGGCAGAGGGAGAGAGAAGAGAGAATCCCAAGCATACTCCACACCCAGTGCAGAGTCAGATGTGGGGCTCCATCCCATGACCCTGATATCATGACCTGAGCAGAAATCAAGAGTCAGACGTTTAACTGATTGAGCCACCCAGGCGCCCCAAGAAGGGGGTTTTAATATGTACCTATGCAGCAAAAATGTTTACTTGATATCTAGTACATGAGCTTAAATCACCAAGAAGTAGAATGTTTTACAGTATACTCTTTCTTTTTTTTTTTTTTTATTCATGAGAGATAGAGAGAGAGGCAGAGGCAGAGGGAGAAGCAGGCTCCCCGCCGAGCAGGGAGCCCGATGTGGGACTCGATCCCAGGACTCTGGGATCATGACCTGAGCTGAAGGCAGACGCTTAACCGACTGAGCCACCCAGGCATCCCCAGTATACTCTTTCTTAAAGAGAGAAACCATGTCCTAAGAAATCTCTGCAAAGACAGGGACTTCATCCTTACCATCTTCGTGTCACCCACAGCCCCCAGCTCAGAACTTGGAGTATAAAACACGCTCAAAGCATGTTCTTGGAAGGAACGTTTGATCTGGGTATCCAAACCTGAAAGTGCCATTTCTTGACCTACGATTGTCAATGGTTGTTTTTTTTTAAAATGACATTTTCCCTGCTCTCGGTGATAATTAATGCTCAGTTCAGACTGCAGGGTTTGGATGAAGAAATCTGAACAATAGCTAGACAAGACAAAGCCTGTTAAATCTTCTGCAGGCTTCTCCCTCTACTAATGTGGTTTAGAATTATATGTTAGGAGCACTGTATACCAGAAGAATATTGATTGCATTTCAGATAATGCAATTTACAGTTAATAAGATGGTTAGGCTGGTCCAGGGAAATATTTGTTTTGTTCAATAATGTTAGACAGAAAACATACATTTTAATAAATACTGCATGAGAACAATCCTTTTGGGTGAACTTTAAGGAAATAAACATACAATCATATGGCTACACATCAGCGAATTTTCACATCTCTGAAATCTGGTGAGATGTATTCTCAGGAGTTCTTTGCTTTACAAATAGATTATTTTAAATTGTTCTTGTTCTAGTATCAGAACCTTTGTCTGGCATTTTTCTATGTAACCTTACTATCCAAGGACAATTGTTGTAGAACAGAATACACAGTATGATTCCATTTGTTTAAATACACACACACACACACATACATACACAGATTTATGGTTAAACACACACACACACACCCCTCTGGAAGATTATCTAACCACAGTGATCATCATGAGGAGCAGGGCAGAGTGAGATAATAGGTATTTTCACATTTAGAGTTATAGATTTCTAGGATACTCCAATTTTATAATATGCATATATTTCTTTTGCAATCAGAAAAAGATATATTAGCATACAGACCTGAAGTTGATGACACCGACAATAAAAACAGTCTTGCCAAGAGCCTGAAAGTAATCTAGTTGCAGAGTCTTCCATCAAGATGATTTCCTGCGCGCGTGGGGGGCAGGGTGTGCACTGTGGTACCACCGGACCTGCCACCACTTGACAGTCTATCGTCGGAGGGAGAGAAAGAGGACATAGGAATGTCTGTCTGTCTGCCCAGACTAGGAAGATCTTGTAGGGGGTATAAGATGAGACACTGGTAACCGTAAGGGGAGGTGTATCGTGGTGTCTTTGCCACATGTTAAAAAAAATTAAATATTGGGGCGCCTGGATGGCTCAGTTGGTTGAGCGACTGCCTTCGGCTCAGGTCATGATCCTGGAGTCCCGGGATCGAGTCCCGCATCAGGCTCCCTGCTTGGCGGGGAGTCTGCTTCTTCCTCTGACCCTCCTCCCTCTCATGCTCTCTCTCTCTCATTCTCTCTCTCAATTAAATAAATAAAATCTTAAAAAAAAATTAAATATTAAAAGGCTCTGTTCAGGGGCGCCTGGGTGGCTCAGTCGCTTAAGCATCTGCCTTTGGCTCAGGTCAGGACCCTAGAGTCCTGGGATTGGGCCCTGAGTGGGGCTCCCTGCTCAGCTTCTTCTCCCTCTCCCTCTGCCTCTACCCCTGCTTGTGCTTGCTCTCTCTCTCTCTCAAATAAATAAATACTTTTTTTTTTTTTAATTTGACAGAGAGAGACACAGTGAGAGAGGAAACACAAGCAGGGCAAGTGGGAGAGGGAGAAGCAGGCTTCCCGCCGAGCAGAGAGCCCGATGTGGGGCTTGATCCCAGGACCCTGGGATCATGACCTGAGCCGAAGGCAGATGCTTAAGGACTGAGCCACCCAGGCATCCCAATAAAAATCTTAAAAAAAGAAAAGGCTCTGTTCAGGGCCACACATCACAGCCACTGGTGAGCATCGGACAGGATTCCGGTGGGATAGTTCCTGTGTCCTCCCAATGGCCTCTCACAAGGCTGTCCGTTATATTCTCCCCCCCCCCCCCCCCCCCCCCCCGAGACAGGGCTTCCTTCTCCAGCCATCCATGGGGAAAGACCAGTTTTGTTTTGCTTTTTATTTCCCCAATGTCTTGCAGACTGATACTTTAATAAAATCAATAAAAATGAATTACTGGAAAAATGAAATTAAAAAACCAGGAAGACATACAAAATTCAGGGTCCAATATTTTTATTATTTGATTGAAAAGACATAAAATCCCTCGGGCAATTTTAAAAAGGCGTTCTCTACTGAGGGAGGGGATGATTTTGCCCCCTCCCCCCGCCCCGCCCAGGGGACATTTAGCAATGTCTGGAGACCGTTTCGGCTGTCCCGGCTGGGGAGGGGGTGTTCCTGGCGACTGGTGGGCAGAGGCCAGGGAGGCTGTTCCATGTCCTGCAGCGCCCAGGACAGCCCCCACCCACACCCATGCTAAGGAATAATTAGGCTCAAAATATCAGCAGTGCCAAGGTTGAAAAACCCTGCCTTAAAACTTTTTAGGTGGTCAGTTTTTATATTTTTCCCTGGGCAGATGGTGACATTTTGGACCCCGCTCCACAGACGACACTTTGAGAACTGCCCTAATGTACTTACTCTGACCCAGTAAGGTTGTCAGACAAACCCCAACCCGAATTCTCTATTCCTTGAAATCGGTGACACTGTGTCATAAGCAAGAGACCAGAATGAGCACAGGAGAATGAAGAGTAGTGATGAACCATGAGAAAGATGATTCGTGTAGACAGCCAGGCGGGGCCAGGGGCATGAGCCCGGGACGGCGACTGAAGGCTCTGGGCCGCCATTCTCCCATCTGTGAAATGGGAATCCCGCCCTCCTCAGAAGGCTGTTGTGGGGGTGGCGTGTAAATACTAGGGTGTGAAAGGGCCTACTCCACGTGGCACCCAGCACCCAGCCCCGGTTAGCTCTCTCTGCGACTCCTCTGTCCAAGGACCCGGCCGGGCCCAGGTCGCTGCCAACCTCAGAGCGTTGCCCCTTCTTGTCACCCTTTTCATTTTTGTGGTGCGGCCGCAGGCGACCCTCCTGCCATTCTCTCCTCCTCACAGAAGTCCGGGGCTCACCAGAACCTTTCAGCCTCCAGACCAGAGAAGGAGCGAAGGGCGGGAGTGAAGCCGACCTCTCCCGGGAAGATGGAAGGAACTGCTCATGTGGAAGGTGCCAGGCAAACGGCGGGAGCCGCGGCTCGCCCTTGGGCCCTCCCTAGCTGCCTCTGATATAAAGCGGTGGGAAAGGAACCTCGGAGGAGAGAAGAAAGTGTCCGCGAAACTGCATCTTGTCCCACCCGAATTGGTGTGCAGAGCAGAGCCAGGCTCCCGTTTGCTCACGAGCAAAGGGCACCAGGAAAGGGCGGGGCCTACCGCGAGCTCCACGCCGCGAATCCCAGCTCCTCCTCCCGAGCGCCGCGCAGCGGGCGAGGCGGGAGCCCCCTGGGCCCCGCGCCGCTGAGCGCGCGCCCGGGAACCAGAGCCCAGACGGTCGCGGTCCCTGATCTCGGACCCGGGCCCGACCCGCTGTCCTCTGTGGGTCCCCGGGAGCGGCCGCGGGGCTAGGAGATCCGGCGGAGATCCCGCGAAGCCCGGGCAAAGCCGGGGCGGGGGGGGGGGGGTCGGGAGGGGGGGGACCCTCCGTTCAGGGCGGAAAGGCCCTTGGCAAGGGTGCGCCCCAGCCCAGGCGCGGTACGTACGATCCCTGCTTCCAAAACTGTCTGTCCGAGACAACTTCCCTCTCCTTCATCGCCGCCCCGTCTGAGTCTCGCTCCGGACTCGGTGGCAGCGGGGGAGAGGGAGGACCTTTGGGAGCGCGGCTCTGTTTGCGTCTGAGTCCGCGGCAGGTGCTTCGGGGAGACAGCCGCCCTTGGGGGGCAGGAGGCCCTCCCCCAACAGTCCAGAGGCTAGAAGTCACCACGCCAGCCGAGACAGGGACGGATGGGGACAGGTACGAATGAACAGCAGGTTTGTTAAGTTACCCGGAGCTCCCTGGAAGGAAAACTCTGTTCTGTTCCAAATGCACATTATTTGAGCTTCCTCTTCATGGCTGCGTCACCCCCAGCCTCTTTGCTGCTGTCAGTGGAGGGACTGGAGAAAGATGGCTCCTTGATCACCTTCTGTACCCAAGGCACGGGGAGACCCTGGGTACACAAGACGGTTAAGACATAATTTATCTCCCACAGATGCTCACAGCCTGGACAGGTACATGAACTATAAACTAATAAGGACCATGCGTGCGTCAAGTGCTATAAAAATGCACTTAACAAGGATTTGGGAACAGGGGGGAAGGAGCCCAGGAGTGCCCAGGAACAAAGAAATGGTCCCTGCGTGATTCTGACAGGCTTTCAACATCTGGAGCCGACCGTGATTGCTACCGTGCTCTGACTAGGTAGCAAACAACTTCCTCATTTTATGACTCTTTAATTCTGATTCATATTCTCAGGTTTTGCGATGCTGGCAGAACATATAGTCTAAAACTGTATCTTAATCCCACTTACCCAGATTTTTCTCCTGATACATCATTAAAACATCTTTTTACCCAGCACATGCTTGGTGTCACCATTAACTTATATTCTGTATGACGTGCCTTTCAATTCCAAAAGCAATCCTTTCGTATAAATATTCCTGCAGATCATTAAGTCTGGTACTCTGGCACTAGGCATAATTGGAGGATGAATCCAATAATTTCAAACAAACAGTTCCAACACCTATCCATACAACATTTGAGATCGCTTCCTATTTTCAAAGAAAATGATATATGAGGGGCGCCTGGGTGGCTCAGTCGTTAAGCGTCTGCCTTTGGCTCAGGTCATGATTCCAGGGTCCTGGGATTGAGCCCCACATTGGGCTCCCTGCTCAGCAGGAAGCCTGCTTCTCCCTCTCCCACTCCCCCTGCTTGTGTTCCCTCTCTCGCTGTGTCTCTCTCTGTCAAATAAATAAATAAATAAATAATCTTTAAAAAAAAGAGAAAATGATATATGAGTATGTGATATATACATATGTATATATAATGTATAGATATGTGTATATATCATATATCATGTACGTACAATGTATACTCGCTTTTTTTCTTGCATGTTAGTCTCAAATTAATTTTTTTCTATTAAATCAGGCAATGAGTGCCTTTGCAAGGCTGAGCTCTTGGTAGATGAGCCCTGTGATTCAGCTTTGCCACGATGAGGTATTCTAGGGGCTTTTAAAAGTATGGAGACATTATTAGGATTAGTAAAAACAGCATCTTCAAAATTATGCAAACTGAAAGTACAAAAAAACCCCCCATTTTAGCTTTTGATGGTTTGATGAAACTTTCTACTCACTGGCTTCGTAATTCATAAGCATCAAAGTCAAGGAAACTATGGTGACATAATTTGGCAGCCACAACTTCTGAGTCTCGAAATGCATCAGCTGAATTGAATGTAGTATTTCTTTTTAATTTTAAATGGGTAAAATATAGATTCATGGTTTTAGAATCAGAATCAGTTTAATGACTGGAAAAAGCCTTTGAGAAAATTTGTCCCAAACCCATCATTTAACGATGAATACTATCAGAATACAGCTGGTTTATGACTGGAAGCTCCTTTAACCCACACTGGCTCACCTGCCTGATCTGTGAAATGAGACACTGGGCTGTATGAACTCTTGATCCCCTACCACTGCCAACATATTGTAGGAGTCTAATAAATGGTTGAATGAACGCACCTAATGCCCAGAGAGGCTGGTTGATTTGCCTGAGATCACACAGTTAGTCAGGGACAGATACAATTCTGACTCTCAGCCTTTGAGAGTTACACAGAATAGGCTTAGAATAGAAACCTTGACTTTTGTAAAAGTACATAGAGATTAATGAAGAATACACCATAAGAGACACAAAACAAAACCCAATTTAAATCTATACTAAAACCAAGTCAAACAAACTGCCAATTACATTTCAATTACCTGCATATCCACTTTTTTTTTTTAAAGAGTTTATTTATTTATTTGACAGAGAGAGACACAGCGAGAGAGGGAACACAAGCAGAGGAAGTGGGAGAGGGAGAAGCAGGGAGCCCGATCCCAGGACCCTGGGATCATGACCTGAGCCGAAGGCAGGCGCTTAACGACTGAGCCACCCAGGCGCCCCTGCATATCCACTTTTTAATCATAGACTGGCGTCCCTTAAATAGTCAGCTTATGTCCCTTGTGTACAAGGGTTGTGGGTTAAATTGTGTCCCCCCAAAATACATGCTGAAGTTCTAACCCTCAGTACTTGTGAATGTGACCTTATTTGAAAATAAAATGTTTGCAGATGTCATCAAGTTAAGATGAGCTTACTAGGGTGGGTCCAAATCCAGTATAACTGGTGTCTTCACAAGAGGAGGGAAATTGGTCGGAGACGTCAGTGAAGAAGGCCATGTGACATTGGAGGCAGAGATTGGAATTATGTTGCCATTAAGTCAAAGAACGCCTGGAACTACCAGAAGCTGGAAGAGGCAAGGAAGGACCCTCTCCTAGAGGTTTCGGAGGGAGCACCTCCCTGCTTACACCTTGATTTCAGACTTCCGGCATCTAGAACTGTGAGAGAATGACTTTCGATTGTTTTAGGGCACACAGTTTGTAGTATTGTGGTAAGGCAGCCCTAGGAAATGAACATACCCCTCATATTTGTGTGGGTTTACGGGGCCCACTTGGGTCCTTCTCTGTCAGGAATCTGAGATGGTGGCTGGGATTGGAGTCATCTGCAGGTATGACTGGGTTGGGTATCCAAGATGGTGCATCCACATGACCACAGGTGATGTTGGGTTTGGCTGGGGGCTCAGATGGGGCTGTGAGCTGGAGCACCTGCACGTGGCCTCTTCATGTAGTGTGGGTTTCTCACAGCGTGGCGGTTGCTCGAGGACAACCATTCCAAAGAAGCAGGAAGTAAAAACTGCTGGGCCAACAAGGCCTTGGCCAGAAAATAGAATGGCATCTGTTCTGCTGCATCCTATTAGTCACACACATTGAGGGGATATAACTGAACTCAAAGTTAGTGATTGAGGGATGGTTCTTTGAGATGTTCTGAGCCATTGCCTCCCACTGGTGATATTGATGAACAAGATTAGGTTGGAGGAAACATTATTCCTCAGGATAGCAAATGCTACCTTGGGACCCAGAAGGGCTAATGAAGGGTTCTGAAGGGTTCTTACGGTTCTACATTTAAGGAGAGCTTCTTCAATCCATTTTCCCCCATCAGAAACTTTCTCGGGGCACCTGGGTGGCTCAGTCCTTAAGCATCTGCCTTCAGCTCAGGTCACGATCCCAGGGTCCTGGGATCGAGCCCTGCATTGGGCTCCCTGCTCCGCAGGAAGCCTGCTTCTCCCTCTCCCAGTCCCCCTGCTTGTGTTCCCTCTCTCGCTGTGTCTCTCTCTGTCAAATAAATAAATAAATAAAATCTTTAAAAAACAAAAAAACAAAAAAAAACTTTCTCACCTCTGGGTCACAGCTTAGGAGGCTGGAGGAGACATTCCTCTCTCCTTGCTTTTGAATCACTTATTGTTGGGATGTCTGGGTGGCTCTGTCAGTTAAGTGAATCATTTATTGCAACTGTTATACCATGTTCAGTGAGTCCCTAGCTGATGAGGAGGGAGTCTCCCTAAAGGCCTCACAATTCTTTACTCAGTTTGCCTTTGTTAAATGCCTCCTGGGGGTCCACGCTGGGTTGACTGCTGAGACAAGGAAATAAGTAGGAATTTTAAAAGTTAAAAAAAAAGGCCTGCGACCTAGGGAGATGGAGCCAGGAAGCCTCTCGTAACTTTCTCTTTCATTCTCCTTTCTGAGCTATAGAAGGTGTCTGGGTCTCAGAGCTGTCCTGGCCATGTCTGTCTCTAGACACTCTTTCTTTTCCCACAGGGTGGCTGGCCTGAGATGTTGTCTGGGCCTGAGTAGACCCCCAGAGTTCACAGCACTGGGGCAAACACATTCTAGTTATGCGAGCTCCTTATGACCTGAGAGGTTAACACCTGGAAAGATCACCCTCTGGGAGATAGATTCCTGCTATCTATCTCGGGGAGGAGACCCAGGAACAGAATTCAGAATGGTGAGAAGAAAGAGCTGTACCATACCTCTGGTGTGGACTGCAGAGGGCTGCTTTTGGCCTCTTCACAGAAGGGGTTGCCTCTTGTGGTGGGCATGATGGCCTTTATATCGCCCATGCCCTTGAAGGACCCTTGGTGGCATCAGGGACTTCCAAAGGGAAGAGTGGCATGGAGGTTGGGGAGATTTGAGGCCCCTCATCCTTTTCAAAATAAAATTTCCGGGGCGGGGGGTGGGCACCTGTGTGGCTTAGTCAGTTAAGCACCTGACTCTTGATTTCAGCTCAGGTCATGATGACAGGGTTATGAGATCGAGCCCCTCATTGGGCTCCATGCTGGGCATGGAGCCTGCTTAAGATTCTCTCTCTCTCTCTCTCCCTCTGCCTCTCTCCCACTCTTAAAAAAAAATAAATAAAATTTACATAGATTTTCTTTTTCTTTTTTTTCTTTTTATTTTTTTATTTGACAGAGAGAATGAGAGAGAGAGAGCACATGAGAGAGGGGAGGGTCAGAGGGAGAAGCAGACTCCCTGCCGAGCAGGGAGCCCAATGCAGGACTCGATCCTGGGACTCCAGATCATCACCTGAGCCGAAGGCAGTCACTTTACCAACTGAGCCACCCAGGCGCCCCACATAGATTTTATTTTTAGAGCAGTTTTATGTTCATAGCAAAATTGAAAGGAAGGTACAGAGAGTCCCCATTTCCTTCTGCCCCCCACACACGCACAGCCTCCCCACCATCAACATCCTCCTCCAGAGTGGGACATTTGTTACAGATGATGAACCTCCACTGACAGATCCTCATCTCTCAGAGACCATAGTCAACATTAGGGTTCACTCTTGGTGGTGTACATTCTGTGGGTTTGGACAAATGTCCAATGACATGTATCCACCATTATAATATCATAAAGAGCTGTTTCTCTAGCTTAAAAATTCTCCTTGCTCCACCTCGTCATTCCTCCCTCCCTCTACCCCCCGACAACCACTGATTTTCTTACTGTCTCCATAGTTTTGCTTTTCCCTTTATACCTTTCTAACCAGAGCAGATCTGTTTGTTGTTTTTTTTTTAAGTATATTTATTATTTATTTAAGTAATCTCTATGCCCAACATAGGGCTCAAACTCATGACCCCGAGATCATGCACCCCATGCTCTTCAAACTGAATCAGCCGGGTACCCCATGAGAGCAGATCTGTTTTATGTATTGGGCTTTTGTTTAAGGTTTCATTTCAAGACTAGGTTATGCTGCTTAAACAGAAAAAAAAAAAAAGTTTTATGTTAATGGGTAGTGTCTTGACCCTGCCCTTATTAGCTGTGTGACCCTTGGCAAGTCACTTCACCTCTCTGAAACTCAATTTCTCATCCATAAAATGGGGCTAATGAGGGCTACCTCACATAAATACTACAGTATGTGCAGTGCCTGGCACACAGTAGGGCCTCAACCAGGGTGAATGCCCTTTTTCTGCATCTCATGCTCACTTCCCACATTTAGTTCCCAAGGTCTGCCTGTTTCATCTCTAGAGTTCTAGAGTCTCTCTCTTCTCTCATCTCTATTACAACTCCTTTCTAGTTTAGGCTTGACCTGATTCAGTGTGTCTGAAAACGATGATTAGGCCACACATCTCTGCCGAATGCTCACCCCTAATGCAACAAAGCAGGGAGACATGATTTAGCAATCTGGAG